AACTATCATATATTTAAAAGGAACCTACCACCAATACTCTTTCCCAGACCCATAGGAGGATGATCAGATGTGGAAACCATTCCAGCAACAGAGATAGATAATGTAACCGGAGCTGGTGCTTAGTTAGTTAGTTTTATATTTTGTTTTAAGTATTTGTTGATACTTAGTTTGTTTTATATTTTGTTTTAAGTATCAGTTGATACTTAGTTTGTTTATATTTTGTTTAAGTATTGGTTTATACTTGGTTATTTGCACATTTTGATTGAGTAAGAACATGAGTGAGAATTCATGATCAGACTCAAGAAAACATATTTAAAAGACTGCTGATTTCCAGGATGGAAACAGCAGACTTCGACAGATAGTATTCTAATATACTTGGTTGAATGGTTATTTTTATTTTCCTATTATACTATGGGGGCCTTCCTTAGTAAGCCTAGAGTCATTACTCCCTAATAGATTAGCCCTCTACTCCTATTGTATACAACAGCATGAGTAGTACCCCGGCATGAACATGTTACAGATAATAACAGCATTTACGTACTACCTCCACCTTAGGCCCCCCACCTACATGGTACCTTAATGGTGGTCAACAGCCATGATATCAACCCAGCTGAAGGCAAGACAGTAGAGAAGGTCCTTCTGGACCTCGCTATAAAGGGGGCAGAGGTGGATAATGTGATGGACCTCCTGGGGATGGAAGGCCACAAAATACACATTTGGAAGTAGATGAATTAGCTGTCTAGTAACCTGCACAGCAGTAGGAGCAAGCAAGATACTGGCTGAACTGCCCCCATACTTCAAGAACCACAATTGGCAAGTGGTAGAAAACTGGTTAACCTCTGGTAAGGACTATTTCAGAAGGAATCCTTTCCAGAGAAAGCAGGACCATGATAAAAGTGTTTGTGTCAGAGCAAGGATGAAGGGCACCATTCACAGAATAGTACTAAAATGCTAGGGACAGTTTAGCTGACCACCAGCTCCGTCAAAGTATTGGTGAAATAATCTTTTTACATCAAAAATTGGCATGTTTGATCAACTTCCACACCTAGAATTGATTTAAATAATCCTTGCAACTCATATAATTGTTTTCACCTTCACTGCAGCTTTTACCTGACACTATTTATTTTGTCAATTTATTCTATGGAGCTAAACTACTAGTCTCCAAAGTTGACAATATCTGTTACTATGCCATTTTTGTATGTAAAATGAAGCCTTTCAGTAAAATCAAAACTTTAGGACCACATAACTACTCCAATTCTTCCTCAAAGTTATTAAGAGTTAAGTAGGAGTAGGGTGGAATTATTGTAACTACATACCAGAAGTCAGGTTATAAAATATTTTGTGGTTCCTAAACTACTAGTGGTGAAAAATCAATATTTTTAGTGTAAAAAGCCCATTTCACCAACACTTTTGCGGAGGTACTTTATCAAGGAGGGTGTCTGGATAAATAGGTATCAAGCCCTATCTTATCCCCCTGTATCCTTGGCGCCAAGCTCACCGACCGCATCCGGGTACTTTTGAAAATCGCGAGTATGATACTCAGAACGTTAAGAAATTGCACGATAAGCTAGGTCACGTGATCCCCAAGACTTTTGTCCAGTCACTTTACTTACTACTGGTATGATACCGGCATCCTGCTGGACTAGCCACAATAATTCTTGTGAACTCCGCCCGTGTTTCATAAACCCTCCTATCTGCTGACCCTCCCGGTACAATGTTTTATTAAACAATTCAACTACGGTACTCGCTCCTTTATAAACGTCTTGACTAGTCTCCTACCGTTAGTGTATCTTTTAGGCCGTGGTTTGATGCCAAGCCCGATTTAACTCCATCACCCCCCCTGCACCTCTTCTGACCACCCCTCACTGACCACCACCTGGTTCATGACTGGGCACTTGGCGCTGACGGGTCCTGGCAGGATATATTTTATCCCAACTCACGGGAGTAAAGAGACAACGATTGAACACGCGAGCTATTCTGTCGTGGCGAGCTGAGGATCGCGGAACGGGAGGTCGCATACGCTGGCGCCGTTTAAATTAAATGGCAAGTCTACGAGCAAAACCTTCATCTGGTGAAGCTGCGGGGGGTGGAACTGTGAAATCTGGTGTTGCTGTTCAAAAGCCTTCAAGGGGTAGCAACGGCGGAAGCCAAATTGGCGATGAGAACATTTGGTCTCCATCATGTGAGTAATTGTTTCTGAAGTGTTATTTATAGGAGCTAACTATTGCGCCCCCCGGAAAGCCTGGCAATCAAAGCCGATGATGCAGGGTGTGGGTTATAAGGATGAGGAAGCCGTAGGAAAAGCTCTTAAAAAGCTCGAGTCACTTCCTCCTCTTGTAACAGCAGCGGAGGTGAGCCTAGCTCTCTAGGACAAAAATCAGTAACAACACACTGACTTATTCTAGGTGTCGAAGCTCCGTGCCAGCTTGAAGGAGGTTGCACTGGGCAAGGCTTTCCTGTTGCAGGGTGGTATGCAGGCTGTATTTATTTGCCTGTAGCGCGCTTTACTGAAGAGGGCCGTTATAGGTGATTGCGCCGAATTGTTCGACTACTGTACCGAGGTGAGATTCTCAGAAGGCTTTGCGAGCAATAGTTGATGAGATGCAGGAAAAAATTAGCGCAAAAGTTAAGCTCTTGCTTCAGATGAGCATGGTTTTGATATGGGGTTCGTCTCCGCCTGCCACTTCCGATTGCTTTTCTAAAGTCTACCAGGCGGAAATATTCCTGTTGTCCGGATAGGCAGAATGGCTGGTCAATACGCCAAGTAGGATCCCCCAATATTTTTCTTGCTTTCCGGCTGCGCTGTGGTGTTGACGATTTTAGACCGAGATCTAGTTTGACTGAAATAGTCGACGGGGAAGAGATACCCTCCTTCCGTGGCGACATTATTAACGGTTTTGAGTTTTCGGAGAGAACTCCTGATCCTACTAGGCTTGTCAGGTTTGCTTTGTCTGCACTGTTGCTGGTTGAGTATGTCTGGGCTGATGTAGTAGCGCATATTATCACTCGGCAACAACTCTCAACTTTTTACGTGGACAGCTCTCCTCCGGATTTGCGGACCTGCATCATGCATTCGAATGGACCCTGAGTCACGTGCAGGACAGTGAGACGAAGGAGAAATATCAAGCCATCGTGAATTCGATTACCGATACTATCCGTTTCATGCAGACTATTGGTGCTGATACATCCTCCAGTCTTGGAACCGTAGATCTTTATACCTCTCATGAGGGACTTTTGCTGGAGTATGAGCAAGGTTTGACAAGGTTGTTGCGTGACCCCGCCGGTGGTACTCTGGCCAAATGGTACGCTACATCCGCACACTTCATCTGGATAGGTGACCGAACCAGGCAATTGGATTGCGCCCACGTCGAGTATTTCCGCGGGATTGAGAACCCAATTGGAATCAAAGTTGGCCCGACCATCGTAGGGGAGGAGCTAGCGAAATTGTTGGATATTGTGAATCCGAAGAAGGAGATTGGAAAAGTAACCTTGATTACGAGATACGGTGCTGATAAAGTGACCGAACTTTTGCCTGGCCATATCGACGCAGTTGTTAAATCTGGGCATACTGTTGTTTGGTATGTTTGTCGCTACTTCTAAAGGGAAAGCTCATAATGCCTGACTTCCGGTAGGCAATGTAAGCAGATTAATTTCCTCTCCAGCTGCAGTTGGTGCTGATAGGACGCACCAATTGGAATTTAGCCGATCCCATGCATGGGTATGCACCCACTCCTTATCAACTTCAGCCTTCTGAGATTCTTTGGGGGCGCTCCTTAGCATCCTATGAAACACGAGGCCGAGCTAAAAACTGAAGATGTAATGGTTGCGCAGCAACACTAGATCTTCTCCTACCGGTGTCAAAACACGTCAATTCGAGAACATCATGATGGAACTATCAAGTACTCATCGTATCCACCAGAAGAGTGGAACCCATCTGGGTGGTGTCCATCTAGAGCTTACCGCTGTAAGATGGTGCTAGGCTTCCGACTTTACTCAAGAACTGACTTTGTGGCCCACAGGACGCAGTCACAGAATGTGTGGGCGGGTCGGAGAATCTCACGGATGACGACCTATTACTCAACTACACGAGCTACTGCGATCCGAGATTAAACAACAAACAGGCTCTGGAGGCGGCCATGATGATTGCTACTTGGTATCGTGAAAGGTCTTGAAATAGAGTTTTTGGTGGGCATTAGGTATCGAAGGTGGTATCAAGCGAGTAACAGTTGCTCTACGGGGTGACTGTGAGTGAGTCTGTATGATACACCAGAAATAGCGGTGAACCAGATACCACATGTGGTTTGTAGTATGCGATGCCAGTGACTGGCATATGATAAATGAGTTACGTTATGAGCCTAACCCGAATTAACAGGATTAGCTATGGCTATGAGAGAAGTAGGGCACCTAAAGGGTGGAAACTCTTTTCAGAGTTTTAAGTATCCTGGGTACCCAAATCCCAACTTGGTTAATTTATAGAAGCAATAGTTCTTCAAAATAATCAGTATTATAAGATATAAAACAAGCTTGTAGATGAAGGTTGCTCTGGAATCTAAAGTACCAATGCAAAAGTCTTGAGGGAGAAATAGTATATAAGTAAAGACAATGCAATTAAGCACAAAGAAGACTAATCAACAATTTATAATAGAATCAATCATGGCACCTAACATACCATACAAGGGGTTTTAACGCAGTGGAGAAAGTCATGATTACTGTCTTTTGTCAGATTTTCTAAAACATTTACACTATTAGTTAGATTGTCAACTAACTGATGCAACTATATAAAACTTTAAATCTCTCAAACACAGCTCTTGCAAAATGTAAAGAATGAAAGTAAACAGTGAAACTTAATATTGTTAAGCCCATACTTATGTCAATTAAAAAGTCTTCTTAAGAGGATATTAATTGCATGGGGGTAGAAGAGTTCTTGTATAATGTTTGAGTGGTCAGACTTATACCAAAAACTGTCCTATCAGGTTACCTGGACCAAGATGAGTATGCCCTTCTCTCTAAGAGTTGCCCAGTACCATTACCACATCCTCGAAGGGCTTAAGGTGTCAGTGCACTCAAGCCGTAATCTCCCATATGAACATTAGTTCCTGTGAGGTATTTACCAATACACCTGCTAGAGAGAAAACCTTTAGGCATTAGTGTTGCACTAGTGGCTAACTGTCATGTCAGCTGAGAAAGCTAACTAAAGGACTCTCTTCCCGTGTGGAACATCAGTGAAAATAAATCGTATGTCAGACGCGTGGGTAGTGCATCCTGATGCAAGCAGGCAGGATTCTGTGTCTGATGGGTCCTGTACGTCTGGTACTTGGGCGCCAAGTCTGGTTGCATCCTGTAAATTCTAGTGCTTATGCTAGGAGGTACCACATCCAGATTGCATCCTAAGTAAGTGAGACCGCCCAGTTAGTATCCTGAGATGCCGAGTGATAAATCCAGCTACCAGCCGCTCCCCCTTTACCACCTCCTACTGGCTCCCCCTTTACCACCCCCTATGGGCTCCCCAGTTACCTGCTCACCCCATGCCAGCTTCCCTCCTACCAGCATCCTGCATCCTACCTCCCTGCTTACTAGGTCCCCCTACTACCTCCCCTGCATTCTGGACTTTGTTGTTTACTTTACCTGCTATCACTTGTTAGTAAGGTTCAGTTAAGTACTGGGTTTGAGACAGGATTCCTCAGGGGTCCTTTGGGCGCAGCATGTCATTCTCAGCAGCCATGTTCTACTCGACGCCAGCTGTCCAAGGGTGCCTCAGACGCCTCCCTGGCACCAATAATGGTGGAGCTATAGCCTGTTATGAAAGTAGTGTTTATCTTGGCGGAGTGCTCACTTTGGCACCAGATTCCCAGGGTGCCCTTTGGGCGTCGCATCTCATAGTCACTGGGCTGGTTCTACCCGACGCTACCTCTCCAACAGTGCCTCAGATGTCTCTCCGGCACCAACAGTGGTAGAGCTACAGCCTGTTAGGAAAGTAGTCTTTACCTTGGTGCGGT